TGTGGGGGGGTTGGACCGAGGAGAATCAACCAATAGTAACGAAGGCAAATATGGCTTTAAGACTCACAGGCACCCCCAGATAGAAAGAGAAAATGGGACCATTTTAAAGAGTCACCTTTCTGACAATGAGCAATAAATTAGGGACAAAGTACTTAATTTTTTTTTTTTTGCTGGAACATCAGGTTTTATTTACTGTTTATGATATTTCTAAAGAGTCTGATGTGTCAGAATATGGCACAGTACGTACAATGAAATCTTTGTGAACACTGCTCCTGTACAATATTAATGTTCTCCACAGTTTTTCCAAAAAGGAAAAAAAAATTTCTTTGACTGCATGCTCTGTTCTCTTCACTGTCAGAAAGTGGCAACTATCTGTCAGGCAACTCACTTATTATTACACTTAGCTCTTACAGCCAATCACCACAGATATCTTTTAAGAAAAGGATCACTGAATAAATGAATAATCTTGATATTTCTCACGTAATTTTTAAAACAAAGGCAACACAAAGTAAATATCAAGGTCCTAAAAAGTTACCCACTTGTGTGGTAAACTCAAATGCCCCATATTATAGTAAATACTTACAATAAAAAATTTGGGACAAGACAAAATTTAGGGAAGGTTTCAACACTGTTAAAGGAAAATAGCATTCAATTAGAAGCTATTAGTTTTACACTAAGCTACCCCCTTGTGCTGCAGGAGAGTGGTGGGAAATTGTCAGCAATGAATTTATTCACCACATAGCTCAGCTGCAGGTCACAAGAAAACAAACAATAAACCAAATGTGGGCATATTGTCACTTTAAGAATTTTCTAGAGTGGGTTCACTGTTGTGTAAGGACCAGGGTAACATGTTTTGAAACAAGTTACTATAAATCTGAGTGGCTTCTTCTATTCTGCAAAGGGCTTTCCTCTTGGGAACGTCTACTCGTGCACATCCCAGGGGGCTTCAAAAAGGCTGTGAAGCCTTGTGCGCACACAGGTGCTTTTCTCCTAATTTAGAAGCTTCTACCATGATAAAAAAAAAAAACATATCGACTGGGTTTTTGGTTGTTGGATTTTTCTTGGGAAGTTAGGGCTTGGAGTTCATTAGCATGCTGCTAGTTGTTACAGAATTTTGAGAAACAATAAATGAATGGCATGGAAGTAACGTCCTAAAACTTTAAGTTTTTTTCTTTAAGCTTGTGAAACAATTGTCTCATCATTCAATAAAATGTCTAAAAATGACTTGAACATCAGCGTTATTTGTTGTTTCGTTTTTTTAAAAAGGTTGGAACGCCTTTTGTATGATCTTATCTAACCTTCCTTCTAGGTAATTGATTACAAAAGTCAGAAAGGAAAAGGGAGGGTGTACAGGTCAAATGGCCTATCTTAAGGCAACATAACACATTGTGCTCATTTAGGAATACAGGTTGTTAATGAGGCCTGGCCTCCAAGAAAAGAGGTATAGAAACAACAGAAATTATTTCAGAGGCCAGGTACATTGGTTTACATCAATAACAAGAAAGCACACACTTGTGGGCCTAAAGTCAACCACAGTGTCACAGCAGAACAGAAACAAAGCAGCAACCGGACATTTACATTAATGTGACAAACTTAACAAGTGGAGAGTGTTTAGCACTTCATTAAAATACAATTGTTAGTTACTTCTATAGACTCAAAAGGTTATATGAATGTAAAAGAATAGAAGATTTAATTGGTGGAGTTTGATTGTTTTGCTCCTTATTCATAAGGAATGAAATACACTAATACTCTTAAAAGAGTATTTGCCTAAAAATAATTTTTTAAACAAATCTTTTTAAATCGTAAAAAAAAAAAAAGTTAACAAAATTTCAATACAAATGTTGAATTGGATGCCACAGGGAATTACCACCTTTGGTAAAACTAAGACAGCTAAAACACTCACTTCTTTCTAGTAAGGTGTTAAATTGGCCTGACAAATTTTGAATACAGCATCTCAAGTTAGCATTTTATAATAAATATGATAGGATGAAGCACAAGTAAGAGAAATGCAAAATTCATTAAGTAAAACCGATTGTTCTATAAGATATAAAAATAAACATTTATAAAATAAAAATATTGCAAATGTTGTTGCCCATTTGCCTAAATTACCAAATAAAAATACACTATGTTTTGTTTTTTTCTTTATAATGACCATAGAAACTGTTAAAAGCATGAAGCACAGTCACCGGGCAGACAAGAAAAATATAGCATTTCTGTAGGTCAATATGGCCTGGGCTGAATCCCACTTTATAGTTGCAGCCTCCATTCTTTGTGCTGCTTCCTCTCCAATGTAGCAGATTTTCCTTCATTAATTTCACTACTGCTTGCAAAGTCCTATTATTCTAGAGTCTTGTTTCTTTCTGGATTAGTATTTCTCCAAAAT